CAGGCTCCCAAAATGTGAGAAATACATTTCTATTCTGTGTAACTGATCCAGTCTAAAGCATTTTGTTGTGGCAACCGAAGGGAATGATAGATGGCATGATGGAAAAGGATGTGGAAAGGATGTGCTGGAAAGGGGCCTGAGAGATGTTCTGAAAAATGGGCATGAAATCTAGGTCAGATTTTCACCCTGGGAAGCAAGGACAGGTGAGAGGTCAGGCAAAATCTCCAGAGGCAGGACAATGAGGAAGCCACCACATCACATGACTCCAGCCTCTTATTTTCACCCGGCAGCTGTGAGAAGGCAGTGACAGGACTTGACAGGAACATAGGCGTGGGTAGAGAAGGAACCCCTGGGCTCGTCTGTCTGTGGTCAGCTGTGGTTCCAACCACACTGCTCAGTTTTTCCTGCTAGACTTTGATGAACAGGGAGATCGGAGCAGACTTGGGCCAGTGGTCAAGAAAAGGATGCCTTTCCCTCAGGATAACCTCACCTCCTCAGTGTTTCTGGCTAACCCAAGCCCCATCCCGACAGGACCACACAATGAGAGAGGACTATGGTAGCTTCTGAAAGCTCGAGGCTGGCCAGCTGCGGAGCCAAACTGCAGGTGTTCAAAGCTAATCATGGAAGCTGGGCATGGTGGCACACATCTGTATTCCTAGCACTCTGGGAGGCTGAGGCTGGTGGACTGCAAATTTGAACCCATCTTGGGCAACTCAGCTATTTAGTCAGACCATATCTCAAAATCCCCCTCCCTGCCAAAAAAAACAAAAAAGGGCTGAGGGTGTTGCTCAGTGTAAAGGCCCGAGGTTCAATCCTTGGTACCAGAAAAAAAAAAAAAATTGACTGTAACAGTATACCATTATATGATTTTATCACTATGGGTAAAGTTAAAACTTTATCAGTTCATTCTTTTAGCAGTGTTAAATTTGTATCGCGATAGTCCTATTATAGCATTATTACTACAATTAAATCCTAGGTGCCCGCTAGGGAAAAATCATGGCAGAGAAGAGGAAATTATTCAAGCTTTATATTCTTTTCTATTTTATCATGTATGTAACTCCTTGGAGACTGCAGAAAATGTTTGTTCAGAATATTTCTTATTTAGTGGTATTTTCAAAATCTGATTATTCAGGTCATTTAAAAAATAGTATGAATCAATAGCAATTACCTGCTTCTAAATTGAATCATAACCTCCAAAGAAATGTACTACTAAAACATTATAGACTCCAGGTTATATGCAATACATCTCCACTCTCATTAAAAGAAATAATAAAGGGAAAATATTGAGGACAAAAAGGAAAGGGAAATTTCATTTTATGTTATTATTGTAATTTAATCCCAAGGAAGAAAGAGTGACCTTCTATTGTACTTGAATGTTTAAAATCTGGCCAGTGTTCAATGTTGGCAAAATTATTTTTAATTTTAAGAGACTATTGGGCACTAATTAGATTAATGTGTTTATCTCTCCCAGGAGACTGCAAAGAATTTTATTTTTGGATCCTAACAAAAACTGTAATTTTCCAGATAATGGCCTGAATTCTGACTTTTTATTGTAATCACAGGACCTTTGGTGTCTTAATGCACTAATATAAGGCAGTGATACCAGAAGCTCTAGAACACTCCATTTCTCCCTACTTGTTAATCTGGAACATTTCCACTACTATATTTTTGAAAATGCAGTTATTATATATTGAAATACAAACTTATATAGCACATGATATATACTTTTAGTGCATCCAGATTCCTTAAGCTATAATTCATTGCAACACTTTAATTTATTTGATTTATATGTGTGCCTAGTTAATATTCTAATCATCTGTAAGCTCAGTTAAGCTTTGTCTTGGTGAATTTTTTACTTGTGATGAATTTGTCAATTTATGTAGTTTGACAAATTATTACACTAGTATAGAATAATCCCTTCTTAATGTGTGGGTCTTTCATTTGATATAGGTGCAAGATGTAAATGCTCACCCTTTAATTTGACTGTCATCCATTTTCCCAAAACAAGGAGATGCTGGTACTCCAATAAGTACCCTAAAGACCAACATTCTCAAGTTTTCACAAGCACATTTTTAAAGCACCATCTTTCCAGAATGTTCAACTTTCAGTTATCTTGAACACATTCTTTGCAAACCATTTGTTTTTTTCAAAGGATATTGCTCCTTAACCAAATTTGACTAAGTTTGCACTCAACTATGACTATATTTATGCATTTCAGAGAGCTGAATTTTTTATCCTAAGTCTTTCTAAAAAATTTAAGGCCTGTTTTCATACTGCTAAAAGACAGCTGTATGAGATGATCTTTCATTTGAGGTAAATGTATAGAAAATTTTCTATATTTCACAGAAATCTTTAAAGACTCCCTCAAAGGGAATGGCACTACTGATAAATTAATTTCTAACAAAAATTCATCTTTTTTCATTGACTCGGGAGGAAGCAGGAGGTTTTCATACAATCAAAATGTAGAGAGAAATATCATGGAAAGCTTTAAAGACTGGCATTATTGATTATTTAATTTATAACACAAATCTACTGCTACTGTACTTTGGTCCTAAATTGGGTCCTTGTGCTTATTTTTAAATTAAGTATAACTTGAAGGAAGACAACAGGCCCACAGTAGGAAAGGAAAATGTTTCTCATCAAACTTCTAATGTTAATTGGTGTGTATCGTTAACTACACTGCTGAGCAAACATTGCTAATTCAAGTGTTTATGTTTTTTGCTTGTTTGTTTCTTTTTTTTTTTTTTTTTTTTTTTA